GTTTTGTTTTTTGTTCCTTAAAGTCACAACTCCCTTACTTGAGCCGGCGTCGCCACCTTAGCAGTGCACGGTAGTAGAGCCGAGGCTTATCCAAGGTGGAAGCTACCGGAGCCCAGCATACTGTCGCCGGAGTACCTGCGTGTACGCGGTAGTTTTGGTGACGCCGTCTCAACAACAGGAGTGCACATTTTTCATGCTGCTGCTTGGTTTTTTCCATTCTTGGTCTGCCTGTTTTTGAAGGCTTAATTTATCATTTATTTATTTATTTTCTATTTGTTTATTTATTTACTTTATTCATTTATTTATATTTATTTAACTTATAATAAATAAAATTTAAAAAAAATATTCTGATTATTATAGGCTCTTTAATATAAGATATAATATAATTTAATTTTTTAAAATTCATGGTCCTACCTTTTTTCGGCGCCTTGAGACGAATTTATTGTGGTAGGCGCACTAAAAATATCCCACCATTACCATTATCAATCAATTCAAAATGAAATGGATGATTTTCGTCATTTTACACTATTTCTGAAAAAGCTTGTTCAGGTAATTATTACTACCCTATTATTCCTTATTATTTAAAACGCTAACTATAATGAACCTAAAACGCAATCGTATTTTTTTTTTATATAATTTAAATTACATCAGTTATCCGAAGCATAATACATTCTCGAAAATGTAATTTTCTTTAATCCGTTATCAGTTTGTGGTTACTCCACTTTAAGTTTATTGTTAAAAGAAATTATTAAAAAAAATATTTTTTATGGATCTACCCTTTCATTATGTGTACATATCTCCAGAAAGGGAACCCGACTATTGGGGCACGATCAGCTAAGTAAACAATGTTGTTTGTTCAAAGGATTATCATTGGGGATTAACTCAGTAGGACACGTGGTGGAAGGACAAAATCTTGTTCCAATATCAATCCGCAAATTACTATTCAGGCCTATATTATAGGTACCCGTATATTCATGTATTCCTGTACAGGCCGCACATTTTAGACGCGATTTCGATCCCGAAATTCGGGATCTGAAGCGGCCCATGCACCGGTCATACCTACTCTTAAATATTCCAGATCAGTGGCGGCTCTAGGATATAATTTAAGTTGTCCGACTGGGGGGGGAGGGGTGGTGTGGGGGCTATATTTACGCACAGCGTCCCCCCCCCGCTGACGCTGCTACTGTTCCAGATCGCGAACAGGGGAGAAAATCGTAAATACGTTAGGCCAAGGCTAGCACAGTTTTATTAGTCTAGCTAGGTTTGCTGACCTATTTTTGTAATATTATACGCACTACAGTGCTGTATTAGAATTCCTACTTTTTCTACAACATTCAGGCAATGATTATTATTATTTTCGTGTTACTGTACGTTCATTCATAAACAAAGTTTGAAAACTGTCACGGATCATGTGAGTATTGCTTCACGAAACATCGTCACAAAACGCATATGGCCGGTTGAAACACACTGTACAACGTCGGGTTACTGGGAGGCTTACGTTATATTACCTGCTACAGTTAAATTACAGTCAACAAAATTATTACAACTTCAAGGAAATCTGTGTTTTTTAGCACGCATTAATTTCACAAGTTTCTATTCTTAAACATAACAGTACATTCTATAACTGCTCTAGACTACTGGCAACCAGGCGTCGTAAAGCGAGTTTGCTTAACTCACGTGATCTCGAAGACCAAAAGAATAAATAGTTAATTGTTTTGATTGAAGCAGGGGTTCAAATAGAAATAATCAAACTTTGTTTATAAATGAACGTAACATGAAAATAATCAGTTAAACAAAAAAAAAATTGATTGAATGTCGTAGAAAATGTAGGAATTCTGGTACGCACTGTAGTTAATATAATTACAATACTAGGCCAGCAAATTGCGCCTGGGCCTAACCTAGGCGATTTTCGCCTCGGTTCTCGATCCGGAATGTGTTTTTTACGTATAGGTTGATGATCGGAGCATAAATAGGCCTCACCCCAAATTTTGGGGTTGAAATCAAGTATAAAATTCGCGGCTTATATACGGGAATATATGGTTAGGCCTATAAAATAATAATAAATATACTGTGGGCCTAATAACAATAAATGTTATAATACCAATGTCTGGTGGAATTATTCATGGATTGCTTTTAAATTTGACTTAATTTCAACTCATTTTGGATCCTTTGGTTCTGTCATTTAATTTTAATTGCTGCAGTCAATTATTGTATGCAAACATGATTTTATGTACAAAACACTTAAACTCTTTTAGTTGGAATGCTCATATCAGTACAACAGCTTTTTTATATTGACAAACATATTCTGTCAGTTCAGCTAAGTTATTAGCACTACTAACAAAAACTTTAATAACAATTAATATTGTTATTTTGTTAAATTTATGAAATGCATACATTACTCTATAATTTAATTAGTTTTATACTATCGTCGCTTAACCGTTGTACTGAATGTCTGTACAGACCTAGTTATTTATAGGTTTATTTCCATACACAGGCTCGTATTTTTTTTAATTTATACTGTATTTCTCATAATAAAATAGTAATAGTTTTATTTATATTTCTTAATAAACATCGTAATCTTTATTTATATTTCTTATAAACATTACAGTCTTTTAATTTACATTACATCACAAACTTATATTTATAATGTATTTCTTAATAGTTGTTTTTTCTTGTGATTTTTTCATGTAATTTTATCCTTTTTAACCAAGACTGTTGGAAAAACAAATTTCCTATTTTAGAAAGGAACAATACAGTTTTCTTGAATTTTGAATAAACACCAAAATCGTATTTATTTTTCCTAATTAGAGTAGAGCTAAAAAAAGGGGCAATATGAAATTGTTTTATGATAATGAGCTCCATTTTGACGGCCATCTTAAAAAAAACTACTTTCTTTTGGTCAGATTTTGTAAGATTTTTTTCTCTTATTTAGCACATCCAATAATACCTAAATCCGTTGAAAAAAATTTTGTAGCAAATTTTTGCGATTACGCACTGAAATCACGTTTTTCTTCCCATCAATATCAGGTTTTATTGGTCAATAAACTATTTGAGACATTTTAGAATGTGATGTAATCAATAAGAATAAATTCAATATGGCGTCAAAGATGACCACCATATATGAATAGCCATGCATCAATACTTACTTTAGCAATGTTTATGCCAATTTTTACATTTTGTTGTTTTGTATCAAAGAAAGGTACCATCTAAGATCATTTGATTAGGTCATGTTTATCCAACAAGGAGGCTTGAATTGTAGGACATTGTTCTGTAGTACATAATAAATCATGTAGTCATCTCTTTCCTTTTCTTCTTCATCATCTATCATTTATCCATAGCGTCTGAAACTGCAATGGGTTGGCATGTACACCCGCCTGTTGAGCATGTCACCTTCAGGGATGTGAGAATGTAGAGTTAGCTGTAGACGATGAAGAAATGAAAACAAATGACTAATTGATTTACCATAATACAACAGAACTTCTTATCGTGTCCACACACTTGCTAGATACTTTGTTTCAGCTAGAGCTAGACTTTGCCGGGTCCTTAGCTTTGTTAAATCCAATAGAGGGCATCTCATGAGCTCTTCTATAGATTATGGCTCTGTGAGACTGTGCCACATTCATGCATGATGTCATCGGCGTGAATGAATCCCCACTTCATTAGTGACACTTTGCATCGGCCAGTTCTTGCCTTCAGTCTGTTCAAGCACCAATACCACTCGAAGGTGTTCTTTGAAGCACTCGTGGACATTGTTGTTCGGTTTGGGAGATAAGCTAACCTCTTTTTCCACAAGGCAGATCTTAATGTCTTTAGCTTCAGCACTTGTGTTGACTACATTAGGAAGTTTTCCTTAGACTTCAGACTCCTCCTTTCAGGTAAATGGCAAAATATGGGATCTCGCTTATCTTGAGGTTGTGGTTCTCCACTACTTGCAGCAACGAATCACTGGAGGCGCTATACCAGATAGAATGTATAGACAGGGAGATATAGGCTGTCAGATGGAGCTTGCTGAAAATGTTGTTTGTACAGACTTTAGCTTGCATCATCTGCACATGAGCCTCGAAGAAAAGGCAAAACGATCTAAGGTGAAACCTAGATACACTAGATCCCTCACAATTTTGTAGTTTGGTGCCAGACCAGAAAGAAATTCAGCATGTGATTGGCTTCTTGAAGAGATGGAAGCCACACACCTATGTATTTGATAGATTTGCACATAATACGGTGTTCAAGATCATTTGAGGGTCATTCTTCGACGATACCGTAGTCACTTGGGCACTATTCCAAGATTATCTGCGTAGATGAAGCAGCGTGTTCCTTCACTTCTTTGCTGATCATTCGTGTAACTGTTGGTGAGTAGCGGATTAAGCACACTGTCCAGTGATACACCATTCATTAGCATTCGTTCACCATAGAAGTACATGGTCTCAAGTATGCCCTCAAATAATTCTTTTAGATGGATGACCGTTGTGGCTTCCATGGAGGAGGCATATATGCCTGACAATGTCATGGGCAGTCGATGGGATCTTAGCTAATCAATGGGATCTTATATGGTACCTTTGTTTGATCCAAAAATAAAATGTAAAAAATGGCACTGAAATTGTTAAATTAAGTAATTACTGATTTATGGCTGTTTATAGGCACGGTAGTCACTGGTAGCCAAATATTGTATTATAGAATGACGATAATAATAATGATAATATATAGCGGCCATCTTGGACGCCATCTTGAATTTATTCATATTAATCAGATCACATTTTAAATTGTTTCAAAAGATTTAATGACCCATAAAACCTGATATTGATGAAAAAACCGCGATTACAGTTAAAATTTTTAGCTGGTTTATGACATGAGCTCCATTTTGGCGGCCATCTTGAAAAAAATACTTTCCAGTTGTTGGATTTTGTAAGATGTTTTCTGTTATGTAGCACACCCAATACTACCCAACTCTGTTGAAATACGTTTTGTTGCAAATTTCTACTGGACTAATAATCTATTTACAGAAGCAAGTCTGCCCTCGTCATCCAGTTCTCAGCATTGGATATTGTTCATCATTATCCCCGTTCTCATAACATTCGTAGTTGTGTTAGCCATGTGTTTCTTGAAGAAGCGTTCAAAAATTATACATCGCTTTGATGACTTCGTAAGTTTATAATCATGTTTTTTTTTTGTTTTTTTTTACCAGCACACATGTTAATAATAAAATATAATTTTGTAACAGTTAAATATTGTCTTTCTTTTCTTTTAGCGAGGTTAATGGATTACATAAAAAATCCTTTGCTGCCACACACCATGATAATGAGAACATTTTTTGACAGATATTGAGAGTTTTCAGAAAAGTTTGTAGTTTTGCTTTTTTAGCATAGGCCTAATGGTTATCACTGCTTATATATTGAGTTGGGTGCATAAAAAAAATGAATTAATTTCAAATTTAATTAAATCAAATAATTAAAACTTACATTGTGTGATATTTAATTTTTTTTTTAAATATTATTTTAAGATTTTAGGAATTAAACGCAATTTTTATAATTTTTACTATGAAATATCATAAAAGTGGCATTCCACAACTCTTATGTAGAGAAGAGTAATTAAATTTAAACTTACGTTTTACTGCATATTAATGAAAGATAACTTAAAGTAGACATGTTGACAAACAAAAAGCATAATCATGTGGATGAGTGTAAACACGGGCCATACCATTTATTTAAAATAGAGGTGTTTTTGCATAGGCCTATTAAAAAAGTTGATTGAAGATCACATAAATGAACAAGATACAAATCACCGACCTGCACTCTCCCCTCCAAAATGTATATATATACTGTCTCTTATACACATCTAGATGTGTATAAGAGACAGACACACCTGTGTATTTGATAGATTTGCACATAGGCGTTCCTCTTCGTAATACGGTGTTTAAGAGCATTTGAGAGTGAGAGTCATTCTTCGACGATACCGTAGTCACTTGGGCACTACTCAAAGATTATCTGCGTAGATGAAGCAGCGTGTTCCTTCACTTCTATGCTGGTCATTCGTGTAACTGTTGGTGAGTAGCGGATCAAGCACACTGTCCAGTGATACACCATTCATTAGCATTCGTTCACCCATGGTTCTCCATAGAAGTACATGGTCTCAAGTATGCCCTCAATTAACTCTTTTAGATGGATGACCTTTGTGGCTTCCATGGAGGAGGCATCTATGCCTGACTATGTCATGGGCAGTCGATGGGATCTTAGCTAATCAATGGGATCTTATATGGTACCTTTGTTTGATCCAAAAATAAAATGTAAAAAATGGCACTGAAATTGTTAAATTAAGTAATTACTGATTTATGGCTGTTTATAGGCACGGTAGTCACTGGTAGCCAAATATTGTATTATAGAATGACGATAATAA